GGCAGTGCTCTCTTTTTTTTTTTTTTCTTGGCTCACTCACTGGCTGTCCCACATAAACTGCTCCTGTTTGATGGGAGCTGCATGTGCAACCTCCCTTCCCTTTGTGCAGCCATCAAAGCCCTGTTTGCCTCCTCTGCTGCCCCTTCCCCAGCACCAGCACTCCTGTCACAAGAGGAGGAGTGTGGTTGAGCAGTGCCTGCTGCAGGGCTCTGACCTCCATACCAGGTAAATGCACACCTGGCCACTGCAGGGCAGGCAGCACGTGCCAGGGGTCAGCTCCTCCTGCTCAGGGAGGACCCTCTCAGCAGGGACGGGCTCACACCTGAGCTGCCCAGAAATGTTTAAGACCTGAAAACCCACTAAAAACACACAGAGATCTCACTGTGAATCTGCTGGATTCCCTGCCTGGATGAACCCAGGCTCTCAGCTGCCTTGCCACTGCAGGCACACCTTGGTGCTGTTTTCAGCACCTGCCAGGACAGCAGGGCCAGCTGAGCCCCCTGCAAGGGCAGCTGAGGTGATGCTGATCCCTGGAGGCTTTTGTGTCCCCGTCACCCCTTTGCACTCTGTACCCTCTTTCCCCTGGAGTGACCCAGAGCTAAGCAGCCTTCCCAAAATGTAGGCACATCTGTCCTGGAGTATTCCTCTCCCCTTACTGCTGGGCCTTCCTGGGGCCTTGCAAGCTTTCCTCACTTCTGCAAGTTCCCTTCTTCTGTGATACCTTTCAGTAGAAAACTCCTCAAGGCATCTGAATCCACACATGTGTTGTCCCCTGTTTCTTCTTCCTCAGAATCCTTAGCACTGATCCTCATGTGGCTTTCATTGCAAAGTGCTCTTTGCTCTATTCCAATTCCAATTTTCAGTTTCAGAAAAGCAGCTTTTCAGCCATACAGATCTGGTTGCAAGTCACCAAAACCACCACATCTTTAGAGAGAATGGTTGCAGAGCAGAGACCCCTTGGCACTTAGAAAATGCCCCTCAACCAAACCCTCACCTTATCCCTCCTCTACAATTCCAGCATTTCCACAAAACTCCCAGCTCAGAAATAAATTCTTTTGCATTGAGAAACTTTGTGAGGGTGTTAATTTCTGAGGAAATGCTTCTGGACTTAGTCAAAATATACTGCAATATATTGCAGATTTTATGACTTTGAAGTGAATGAGATGCTTTCTTAGAAAAATGTCCATTTCCCAGTTCTCAGGATTGAATAGTCTAATGTTAATATCACATGTCCATGAGGGCACAGCTGAGGTGTGACTGTTTCAGATTCTTTTTATTCCTCAAAAAAATTTCTAGGCATCTTCTCAACTGCCCTGCCCCTTATCAAACACTGCAGAAAAAATCAAGTTGTACAAAAAATTCTTTCTGCTTCTAGCTCTTTGTGGTGGTCCCAGGCCTGTCTCTGGCAGGCACTGCACCCCCTGGCCAGGCTCCTGGGGCTTTCTCCTTTGTGCACCCAAAGGGTGTGAGGGACTTCTCCAAAGGTGCTGTCAACTAGGTTGAGTAGAGCTGGTGTCTGTGGGCATTGGGGTTCCCAGGATCCTGGTTAAAAAAGGGGAAATCACTCCCCTTGCTTGTCTCCCCTAATATCTGGGGTGCTGTTCTTCATCTTTTTCTTGTTCCTCCAGCTCTTGTATGAGCATTAATTTGTGCTGCAGAACTTCACGTGGGATGGAGGCTCTTCAGAAATCCCACCTTTTCTTAAACTCCACATTTTCCCCACTGCCATGTCCTTCCATCCCATCTTTGCACTCTTGTGGCCATCAGGGCTAAGAAAACCTCCTGCGTTTTTGCTCATCTCCTGCCGGGTGAGCCCTGAGCCATCTCTGCCTCTTTAGGGTGACACGAGGCCCGTCACAGCGAGGGGACACCGTGCCCTGTGCCATCCCCTGCAGGGACACTCCTTGTCCTGCCTCTGTCACCCCAATCCCCTGCCCTGCACCAGCCCCCAGCCTGTGCCCCACACCAGCACCTGCCCCTCTGCTCCTCCCCACAGTAGCTAAGCCCACCCTCCTCTGCTCAAAAGAGATATTTTGTTCACTACTTTCTTACCTTAATTTCCCCAGGAACAACGAAAGCACCACAAGTCTTACCAGCCTCAGAAACTAAAATAGTTGTTATGGAAGAAGAGTGTAAGTACCTCTCCCCCACTCCCCCCATACAGCTGCTTTCCCCTAATTTATTTGTTATTATGAGACATTTTGCACGAATGCTTTATTGCCTCCTGGAATCTTCTTTAATCACTCCTTCTGTCTGATTTTTCCCAAAGCCACTGGTCTTCCTTTCCCTGGATCTTTAAAAAAATCTGATTTATATTGCTGGTGCCTATCTTGGAGAGGGAGAATTTGATAACTATTGCAATGGCAGCTTGAAGAACATGCTACTTAAAATTGCAACTGAAGTTTAAGCATTCCCAGCTCTTTCAGTACATGGAGTTACTGATACTTGCAAGATGTGCTTGTTATGGCCTTTGATTTAACAGGGTTTTATTTTATTACTTTGTTTTTGTGCTTGGGTTTGGGGTTTTTTTGAGGATAGTTGATAAAACCAAAACAGGCTGTAGGAATTACAAGAAAAAAAAAGACATCAGTCTTCTAAGCATAGGTAATAAGAAAATTGCAGAAAATCCATCCATGCCCTGCCATCCCATTTTTTTCTGAGCCTCCAGAAAGCAAGAACTTATTTCCCCAAATGCTTAATTTGATTTAATGTGGCTGGAATGCTTTTTAACATTCCCTCCTATTCATTTGTCCCAAAAGCAGTAGAAAATGGGCACAGAGCAATAAAAATGAAGGAGGGGATACAAGTGTAGATTAGAATCCTGATGCCTGGATGTTGGCTCAGCAATTTCTGGTGGAGGGTGTTATGTCTGTGTCAGGGGGTCTCTCCCCAGTGGGAGCCCACCAGGATCCTGGCAGAAGCCCTGGGAAGGCAGAACCAGGCAGAGATTTTTTTTTTTTTTTTTTTTTTTTTTTTTTTTTTTTTTTTTTTTTTTTTTTTTTTTTGTGTGTGTTTCCAACCCAGCTGTAGATGCCCAGAGCTGAGAGCACAGCTGGCTGTGCCTCACTGTTGGCAGTCCTGCTCTGCAGATTTTATGGGGATGTTTCCTCCTTTGAAAGCTCAGTCTTTTATGAATTTAAAGGAAATCTGATTGCAGCCACAGCAGGCACTGGCCAGGTATTCTTTAAAAGCTTTTCTGATTAGAAAACTACACTTAAAATGTGCTCCTGTGTAGTGCTTAGCCTTGCACTGCACTAGAGATACCAAGCTGAGATACAGCATCATTAATGCCATGGCCACAGCATCCTTCCCCAGGATGTTCCCTTTGTTTTCACCAGAAGAGATCCATACTATTTATTTGCATCATATTAGATTAATGCTATTTTCCTCAAAGCCAAATCTCAGAAAGGAAACACAGAAATTTCCCCTTTTGGAAAACTTCTTCCTTCTGTGGGTGCATCATCACTTTTGTTTTTCTTTCTTAAGATGGAAAAGTCCCCAGAGTTAAAGTTATAACTCATTTTTCATTTCACATCCCTTTTTTGCAATATCTCCCAAGTGTTAACTCAATAACTCAGAATCTGTCTGATTTTTATGGTGATTGATGTTGTATCATAGACTTACACGTGTGTACAGCATATGGGGAGGTGATGAAGATGTTGTGAGGTGGGATAATCTGGAGAGCAGACATGTATCTCATTCTTGTAGAAATCATGCATTTCTTTTCAGTATCTGTATTCAGAGTCACCTGTAGGTTGTCCCTACTCTCATTGTTTCACTGAAATCTTATAAATCCCTTGCCGGATTTTAACCACTGATGTCCCCAGTACCTGGTCTGTGAATAGCATGAGGTTCCACTCAGCTTCATTTGTGCTGCAGTAGCCTCATTGGTGGTGAAAATGTGTTAAATGAGGCACTTCGTTTTGTGCTTGTCACAGGCTAAGGTTGTGCAGTTGGGTGGTCACCGTGGCTCAGCTCACAGGCAAGAACTTGCAGGGATGTGGTAACTCGATCTTGTGCCCTGACGCAGAGAGAAAGGTCCTTTATGCTCATTTCAACATCCAGAGAGCTCAGAATGGTAACGTGATCCTGTCACAGTGCAGCATGAGGCAGCTAAAGAAGGTTCAGGAGTCTGTGGCCGTGTTGGGTAAACAGGATAGGAACCAGTGTTGATATTTAGGAGCATTCTGATGGAGGCAGAAATGGAAGCAGGGTCAGAGAAATCTGGAGGGCATTCTGAGATGGAAGGTTTATGCAGGACAGAGATAGCAAAACCTTCTCAAATTTTAATTTTAAAAAGGTAAGATAACGTTTAAAGTCTCTGAGAAGGTCAGGTAATCCCTTGTTCTTTCTGCTATTGACTTCTCCACCAGTTCTTTACCTTGACTTCAACAAGCAGCTGAAGCCCTGAGGGGAAGGAGAGAATTCAGGCCAGGTGGGGGAAGCGTGGCTTGGATTCTGTCAGGATAGAGGGGGACGTGCCAGTGGTGGGCAGGTGCTCTAAACCAACATGTGGATCATTGCAGCTGCTCACCTGGACTCTGCTCGTGCTCCTTGCTCGCTCTCTGGCTGGGTGAGTGCCTGGCTGAGTGCTTTATCAGCCTCTGGGGGCTGTCAGTGCCCTTGGCTGAGGGTGCTCTGCAGCAGAGAGAGGCTCGGGGGCACAGGAGAAGGGGAAAACAGGGAGAAAGAGCAGAACAGGCAGCGCTGAGCTGTGCTGGGAGCAAGAGGATTGGGGGTAATATGAAGCACCTGAGTGAAAACTGGGCTCTCTGGGTTTAGTTATGGGGCCTTTATTCATCAGCTGGGGATCACAAGCCTTCCCTAGAGTCCCTCTAGAGAGCCCTGTGGGAAGGGTAGCTGAAACAGTCCTTTTTTCCCCAATTAAGTCTAACTCTCCACACACCAGTCTGGGTCCACAGATTTCATAGCTGTCTTCTTGGTGATGCCATGTGGCTGGCTGATTGTAGCCTCATTGGTGTAAAGTCATTCAAGCAATCCCCTCAAGTTTAATCCCTTCCCTGCTGCCCAGTGTGGCTGGGTTTTGGAAATGTTCTCATCACTTTGCCTCTGCCAGGTGAGCTCAGCCTCATGATTGCAGTGGCTGTTCTGTGCTTTGTGAGTTATACACCCCACAGGAACATGTGCCACCTGGTTATGGTTCAACCAATCCCCCATATCTGCTCCAGTCTGGCCTGGCTTTTATTGAGTGACTATGGCAGAGCTGCCTGTGAGTTGGCTGGTCTTAATCCTCTCTTTTTTTCACCTCCTTATTGCCTCTCTTCCTTGTCCTCACCTCCTCCTTCCTGCTTTGTTCTCTGTCCTGGGACTGAAGACCAGCTGGAGGTCTGACCTGCTGATGGGTGAGCTGCTCTGTACCTGCGCAGCTGTAAATAAACTGTGTGTGAGGTTCCCTTCACCAACATCCAACATCCCAATGACTCTGCACCAGGCATGCAGTTAGTCAAGTATTTGCAGTGGCCAAGGCTGATGGGGAATAGAGCTAAACATAAAGTAGCTTGTGAATCTGGGAATTATCCCACCAGTGTGTTGAAACCCACTGGAATCTCCCTTGGCATCATGCTTTGAGGTGCCTGTGTGTGATCTGCAGGCACGTGGTGTCAGAGGGCCACGCTTCAACCCAGGCACAGTTAACATTTTCTAAGTGAGACATTTTGCTTGCCTTTGTCCTCCCTCAGATCTTGGTAGGTCTCTCCATCCTTGCTCCCTAAATAGTTGCTCTCATGAACGTGAAGTCCCAGCTGGGCAGTCCCTGGCCCCTCCAGCCTGAGGCCACTGAGCTCTCCTGGAGCTCCCAGTGCTGCAGATGAGCACAGTGCTCTGGGCTTGGAGGGGAAGGGTGTCCAGCCAGCCCAGAGCACGGCAGAGCAGACACAAGGCTGGCCATGTGAACAGAGCAGTTTTCATTGCTAGACTAAAAATAAGTCCTGGCGTGGTCTTTGCTCAGCTAATTCCAGCCCCGTTGCTGGAGGTGGGGTTGTAATTGAGTGGAACCTGCACGCACGCAGGCACGGAGCCTTGAGGTGAATTGGAGATCTCGCTGCCAGTCTGCAGAGAGCTCTGTGGTGCCTGGCAGCTGCCACATCCTGCTCACTGCTCATTTTGCACTCTGTGTATTTTTAAGTAGTCACGCAGCTGCCACTCGAGATGTGATGTAAAGACAGGCAGCGACTCCAAAGGCAAAGAGGGGCAGGATGAAATGTGGGGTGGGAGCTGATGTGCCCTGAGAGCACTGAGGCTGAGCCCAGCCTTTAGAACTGGGCTCTGGACCAGGGGATCTGCTCTTCTGGCTCCATCCTGGGATCCTGGTGTGTTGCTTCACTTCTTGGGCTTCAGCTGCTCTGCCTGTGAAGCTTTCATGCTGGCATTGGCTCTGTGAAAGGATTTTTAGGTTGCTGAACAAATCCCCTCATTGAAGTATCATGTTGCTGCTATTACAATTGATGATGGGGATTTGGGAAAATGAAATGCTGTACTGCTCTCATGTGCATTTTCAGACCCCTGTGGTAGAGAAGAGCATAGGAAGGGCTCCCTCGTAAAGCTGCAGAGATCATTCCAGAGGAGCAGCTTGAAGCTTGACAATAACACAGGACTTTGCCCTGCAATAACTGCCTATCACATGGAAACAAGCAGCCCCTGAGTGCTCAGAAACCTTTAAACTTATTTCTTAGTGAAAATCCTGAGCAGTGCAGATGGGAGAGGTGGGGAATGCAACCTGTGCTGTTTTGATCAGCAGCATCTGATGCTCTAAGATGAGTGCCTTGTGGTCTGGTATTTGTATCTTGGGATGAACTCCTAGTCTGCAGCTATTGATCCTAACGATGCCCTTGGGAACTGGAAACATGATTCTGGCAGGATCTCTTTCAGTAAAATGCGGGGGTAAATATTTGGTCATTTCCAAACGAATAAACACACAGGAGCAGAATTTTTATGAGCTCCAGAGTCCCCAGTCTGCTTTTAGGCAAACCCCAGTGAGCACAGGCCCTTCTGATTTTATGTACAGATAGCAGCGGGGAGCATCCAGGCTCTGCTCAGGTTTATTGCAGGAGGAGGTGTCGTATCAGACATACAGAAATCTGCCACAGAGGGAATGGTGAGGATCACCAGGCCC